TGTGGAACCAGGGATTGAACTTAGGCCCTTGCAATTGCCAGGGAAGTGCTTATTCTACTGAGCCATCTCCCCGGCCCCTCAAAATAAAATTTAATAAAAAGTGTCGGCCAGCTAGCTCAACAGATTAAAGTGCCTGCTATGGCAGACGCAGGGACCACTGGCCCCGTTCCCGGGGAACTCTGAGATGTGATTGAGACTGGGCGTGATGGAGCATGCCTGCAATCCCAGCTCTCTGGAGGATCACTGTGAGTCAGATCTATGTAGTGAGACCCTGTAGACCTTGTACTAAATACATTAAAAAATAAATAAAATGAAATTTAATGAAAATAACCGAAATACGATGGAGAAGGTGTCATACACCTGTAATTTCAGCACTTGGGAGGCTGAGGCAAGAGGATCACTGTGAGTTAGAAGCCAGCCTGGGCTACAAAATGAGTTCAAGTCTAGGCTGAACTGCATAGTGAGACCCTGTCTCCAAAAAAAAAAGATGAGAAAGAATGAAAGAAAATAACCAAAGTAATCCTCCTTTATTAGTGTATTTTTTTCCTGTACCATTAATACTTTTTTTTTTTTTGGAGGGTCTCTACGTGATGTAGGCTGGCCTTTAACTCATTGTGTAGCCCAGGCTAGTCTGCACCTGATGGTGATCTTCCTGCCTCAGCCTCCTGAGTGCTGGGATTACAGGCCTGTGCTACCATGCTCAGCCTCTATCATTAATACCCTGTACTCAGGCGTGCCATGCTGAGGAAACCAGGTGTGGTGGCCCATGCCTATAATCCCAGCACTGGGGAGGCTGAGGCAGGACGACCACTATGAGTCTGAGCTGCATAGAGAGACCCTGTACCAAATAAGTAAATTTTTAAAATATTTTTTAAAATATTTAACCTGTATCTCCTAAGGATAAGGACATTCTACTATATACCTATGATGATTTCACTGCTAAGAAAATTTATCCAGTCCCCATTCATATTTTCCAAACAGACACAAGAATATTTTATGTTAATGTAAACCATGACACACGGGCCAGAGAGATAGCTCAGAGGCGTAAGTGCCTACCCGGCAAGCATAAGGCCCCAAGTTCAATCCCTGGCCCCACATGCTGTGCTGTCTCAGCCCCAGATGTGGGTGTCCACCATCTGGCCCAGAACAGGGCATGGTGGTACCCACCTGTAATCCCAGCACTCGGGAGATTAAGCCAGGAGGATCTCTGCAAGTTCAAGACCAGCTTGGAGACTACAAAAGTGAGCACAAGACCAATCAGAACTGCATAGTAAGACTCTGTCTCAAAAATAAATTCATAAATAAACAAACCAGGATACAACTAGGACTGGATATAGTTGTGTCTATAATCCCAGCATTCTGGAGGCTGAGGCAGGAAGAATGCTGTGAGTTCAAGGCTAGCCTGGGCTACACTGTGAGACCTGTGGCTGGGCACAGTGGTATACACCTATAGTCCCAGCACTCAGGAGGCTGAGGATAGAGGATCTCTAGGAGTTTGAAGCCAGCCTTGGCTCCAAACTAAGTTCTGGGCCAGTCTAAACTGCATAGCAAAACCATGTCTCAAAAAGACTAACACAAAGCCAGCAAGACAGCTCAGTAAGCTAAAGCACCTGCTTAGGCAAGCGCAGGGACCAAGGTTTGATTCCCAGTGGCATATATGCCACAACAGCCCCCGGTGGGCTGAGCTGGCCACAGGACTATAATCCCAGCGCTGGGGAGGCTGAAAAACAGGAAGATCACTATGAGTCTGATCAGTGTAGTGAGACCCTGTCCACTACAGGGTCTAAATACTAAATACTAAAATGCGTTTAAAAAAAGACTTAAAAAAAAGTTTATGGGGGCTGGTGAGATGGCTCAGTGGTCTAAAGCACCTACTTAGAACAAGCTTAGCAAAGCACAGGGACCGCGGTTCAATCCCCCAGCACCACATGCCAG